TTTTGACTATGGAAATCCAAAAGATTTCCCTTCGACTAAGTTCGAATCTCCAAGCTAAATGCTCGGAATTCCAGAACTTCGTCGGATCGACTCCCAGAGAGATTTCTAGGGCAGAACACTGCTCAAAAACCCCAGAATACTCAAGGAGGGAGTCAAAACTGTGTGGAAAAGTGTGGAATGACGTCCAAATGACGTCCTATTTATAGGGATGAGGCGCAGTACGGCCCCTGGGTTCAATACGGCCCGTATTGAGTTTTTGTACTTCAATACGGCCGTATTGAATTCAGTACGGCCGTATTGAAATACAGAAACTTCAATACGGCCGTATTGGTTTCAGTACGGCCGTATTGTAGTACAAAATGTGCAGTACGGCCGTACTGAACTCTAAGGAGGCCGTATTGAGCTCCAAACCTCCCACTTCCTTATTTTTAGGTACTCTAAGACCTCTAAACCTACAGATAGTCATCTTATGGTCTTCTGGGAGTCCTTCTGGCTGACTTTCCTTTGATCTTTGAGAGTCTTCGAGTCTTATTTCCGACCCGGACAATTTTAGGGGTCTACAGCTGTGATCCTTTACTTGGAAGCTTCCCCCCACTTGCTCGGCCACCACTTTGGAGTCGGTCCGGCACTTGACTCTTGATGCACCCATATCCTCGGCCAGCCTTAATCCTGCCAATAAAGCTTCGTATTCGGCTTGGTTGTTCGAGGCCTTGAACCGGAAGTGCAAGGATTGTTCCAACGTTATCCCTCTCGATCCTTCTAAGATGATTCCTGCCCCGCTCCCCTGGCTGTTTGAGGATCCGTGCACATGGAGGGGCCTCCATTGTTCCTCGAATTGGCCCTGTGGGTGGAGTTCATTTATGAAGACGGCCAAACACTGAGCCTTGATCGGTCCCCTCGATTTGAAGGTGATGTCGAATTGCGAGAGTTCCATTGACGAGGCCATCATTCTTCTGGCGAGTTCTGGTTTGCTTAACACCTTAGCGACGGGACAGTCGGTGTGTACAACAATTCGGTGGCTTTGGAAGTAATGGCATAGGCGTCGAGACGTGTGTACTAGACCGAGTGCCACTTTTTCTATCAACTGGTACCGGGTTTCTGAATCTTGTAGTAGTCGGCTGACAAAATATACAAGAGCTTGGTTGCCTTCTTTTTCTTGCACCAGAACCGAGCTGATAGCCTCCTCGGACACGACCAAATATACAAGTATCGGGCACAGAGGATCAGGCTTCGTAAGGGTCGGAGGTGTCGCCAAGGTCGTCTTCAAAGCTGCGAAGGCTGCTTCGCAGTGTTCATCCCATGAAAAGATCGATGCCTTCCGCAGGAGTTTTGTCATCGGGCTAATTTTGTCGCCTAACCGTGGGAGGAATCGGGATAAGGCGACCAATCTTCCAGAGAGGCGTTGCAATTCCTTTTGGTTGCTCGGGCTTCGCATGCTCAACACGGCCTGACATTTGTCTCGGTTCGCTTCTATGCCTCTCGCCGACAGCATAAAACCTAGGAATTTGCCTCTCTTGACCCCGAAGGTACACTTCTCGGGGTTGAGTCTCATGTTGTGCTTCCGGAGTTCACCAAAGATTTTAGTCAGGTCGGTTAAGTGTTCGGCCAGAGAATTGGACTTCACCACCATATCGTCCACATATATCTTGATGTTTCGGCCGATCTGACCGTTAAACACCTTGTCCACTAACCTCTGGTAAGTTGCCCCGGCATTCTTCAGCCCAAATGGCATCACTTTATAACAAAAATTGGCGTTCTCGGTTATGAATGCTGTCTTTTCTTCGTCGGCCGGATGCATTTTGATCTGGTTGTAGCCGGAGTAAGCATCTAGGAAGCTAAATATAGCGTGCCCGGAAGCACCATCGACGAGTCGGTCAATACATGGGAGTGGATAGGCATCCTTGGGACAGGCTTTATTAAGGTCGGTGTAGTCGGTACACATTCTCCACTTCCCGTTCGAATTTTTGACTAACACCACATTGGCTAGCCACGTGGTGTATGTGACCTCTCGATAAACCTCGCCTGCAAAAGCTTTTGCACCTCGGCTATGATGTTCTATTTACAAATGTTTTTAAGGTATGACTATGATAGTAACTTAGATGAAGAACTCATTAAGCCACAAATTTTGATAAGAATCTTTAAAAATTAACTTATATAAGTTTAGCATAGATGCCATAAATAATTTAAGTTAAGGAGTGTAAATATTTATTGAAATAACATACTTATACAAACTAATAATTGAAATAGAATGTTTTCCTTGACCATCCTCATTGCTCATATCAATAGCTTGTAGCTTCAGGACTTTGACAATGCAGTTAACCTGTGCGAATTTTTGGTCCTATGTTCAATATAGCATGGGTGTTTGAGGCTACTAACTTCCAAATTAAGGTCCAAACTCATTCTAGCCATTATCTATTCAAACAACTTCTCCAACAATTTAAGAATAAAATGAGAAAAAAAAATTACCTTGTACTTGTGTGTCAACTCTCTCAATTTCTGGATTATCCTTATGTTTGTGCCAAAAATTACAATTGTAAAGAATAATGTTGTGAGATTTTGTGACTTCATGAAAACCTCATGAAAGAACTACAATATATATAACTGAAATAAATTATAAATTATTATGACATTGAATCACAACACTCATCATTTCATTAAACAAATCGACAAAAGTTTAAGGTCATTCTTTTCTTAACATGAAGTTTAATTTAACTTGGCATTTACTCAATGGATCTATGTTTACAAGTAAAGTTGAAAATTCTTTATTTCTTGCTTGAATGATAAAATTTAATTAGAACTTATAATTGAAATTATTGTATTTTAGTATCATATACAGTTTTTTTTTATAAACTTAAATTTATAAAACATATGATTTTGTTTATATTAAAACAATTATAAATTGATAAAATTTATGCATAACAAAAAATGGTGCCTCGGGTAATTTTTTTACTCTCAATAAAAGAAAATTAAAAAGGTTTATAATTTAAAAATATATAATCTACATTTAGAATAATAATTTTTTAATTTTATACAATATATATGTTTGTAATTTAATGAGCTAAAAATAGGAGGGAAATAACACAATAAAGAATTTATTAAACTGGAACATTGAAAATCATTAAGGGTGGCAATAATGAAGAACATTCTATGCTTGGGGAACTGATGAAAGAATGGTATCTTTCCTTTGGTTTAACTTTGGCAAGGAATTATTCCTACAGACAATAAGAGCAAAGAATCCAAAAACATGTTTGACATCATTCTTTTTCCCTTGAAGAGTTGCCACATACAATAGTCTATTATTCCTTTCAAGAATGGAATCCATTGCTTGATCGAGACCTAAAAGAATACCAATAATTTTCAAATGGAAAATGAATAAAAGAGTTGGGTTGACATTAGGATTTGAGATTGAGTGATATGATTCTCCAGAGAGGATGGAAACAACTCAGAACTTATTTTATCAGTTTCAGCAAAAGATCTTAAAGAAATTATATAAACTAGTTTGTTTTATCCGTACAGTGCAAGCAAATTTTATTTATTTATTTAATATAGAATTTGTGAGTAAAAACTTGATTTTTTTTTAAAAATTAGGGAATTAATATCAACAATAGAAACTCCAATCAAGGGATATTTTTATTTCATTTACTCCAATATGATTGTTTTTATACTATAGTAGTTTGATATATTTAATCATATACAAAGCAATGTAGTTGAAATCGACATTTTCTGCATAATGGAGTTGAAACCCAAAATTTTAATAACTTGTAATGATACTATGATAAAGTTCCATGAAAGTTAAGAGGAATCAAATGCTCGATTAAAGCCAATGTAAATTGGATTGAATTAATTAAGTAATGAATGTTGAAAGTATTAATCCCGAATTTGAATTCCTTAAAGAAAACAATGCCGCATGTACGTTAATTGAATATGCAAATGATGTTCTATTTACAAATGTTTTTAAGGTATGACTATTATAGTAACTTAGATGAAGAACTCATTAAGCCACAAATTTTGATAAGAATCTTTAAAAATTAACTTATATAAGTTTAGCATAGATGCCATAAATAATTTAAGTTAAGGAGTGTAAATATTTATTGAAATAACATATTTGTTCGGGTTCTCGTCCCAGTTGAAATTGGACAAGGTCATCTGCGGGCTCGATTCGCTCTTCCTCTCCTAACTGAGGGTCGAGGTCAATGCACTCGGCCAACTCTTGTCGGACCACATTTACACCTCTTGTCGACGTCTGGGGGATAACCATCGGTTGTACCTTCAGGCTGGAAAGGTAGCACTCTCTCGCTGTTTTCTGATCGGCGTGCACGGTGACTACTTGGCCGTCTCTCGATGGAAACTTCATGCACAGGTGGGGGGTCGAGACAATCGCACCCAAGGCATTAATGGAGCGTCGGCCCAGTAGGATGTTGTATGATGTGTTTGCATGCACCACGATGTATCAGATTTTGATCTCTCGTGAGGACTTCTGGTCGAACCCAAACCGAGTGTACAAGTCAATGCTCCCTCTGGTCATTACCCTTTCGCCGGAGAATCCGACTAGTGGCTCGTGATATGGCTCTAGGCTTTCCTCCGGGATCCCGAGCTGCTTGAATGTGTTCCAGTACAAGATGTCGGCGGAACTCCCCTGGTCGACCAAAGTCTTCTTCACGATGCAATTGTGCATTTCCACCGAAATCACCATGGGGTCGTCTTGGACGGGATCGACGCCTCGGAAGTCTCGGTCAAAGAAGGTGATCGGAGGCATTTTTGGCGTTCTTGACTGGTTTACGCTATTTATTGATCGTACCGCTCAGAGATGTCCTTTTCGGGCGAAAGATGTGGAACCTCCCCCGGCAAAACCTCCTGCTATCGTGTTGATTATCTTCCTCGGTCGGCTGTTATCTTCTCGGACGCTTCAGGAGTGGTCTCTCCTTTTGGTTGATCGAGACATGTGGCGTCGGTCTCTCTGCGATGGTGTTTCGCGAGGGTGTTGATCTCGCCCTCTTGTTCGATGATCTTGCGGTGTCACGAAGTTCCCGAGATGACCTTGCTTGATGAGGTCCTCAAGTTTGTCCTTCAGCGCCGAGCATTCTTCAGTCGAATGGCCCCGGTTTCGATGGAATCGGCACGACTTAGCCTTGTCAGCCCTCGGTGGTGTGTTCGCCCGCTTGGGTATCACCAGTACTTCGGATGCGAGGGCCTGCTCTAATACCTTTGCCCTGCTCGCATTGAGGGGAGTGTACGCGGTGTAGCGCGGTCCTCTCGGCGGACGAGGGTTCGAGGGCTCGGCGTTCGCGGCCTTTCTCGTTGGTTCCCTGCCCGGTTCCTTCCTGTTATAGGCCTCCTCGGCCCTGGCCTGGTTGCGGGTCTCCGCAAGCTCTTCCATTTGCATATACTTCTCGGCCCTGCGTCGGTGATCGTTCATGTCAACTGGTGGTTTCTTACATAAGCTATTCACAAATGGCCCCGGCTTAAGAGCAGTTATCAACCGGTCCAGGGCCACGACCGGGTTCAGATCGCCTATTTCCATGGCGATCTTGTTGAATCGGTCCATGAAGCTCCTCGGGCTTTCCTTCTTCTCCTGACGAACCCCCGCCAAGGCTAGCGAGGTTGTCCTGTACGACTTACTCGTTGCAAATTGCAGGGTGAATTGGGATGATAGCTCGTTAAACGAATCAATGGAGGAGCTCGGCAACCTCGTAAACCAGCTCAATGCCCTTCCCTTCAACGACGTGGGGAATATTCGGCACAATGTCGAGTCATCTTGAGTTGAGAGGGTTGCTTGAGTTAGGAAAACATTCAGGTGCTCCTCGGGGTCGGTTGACCCATCGTACTTCTTAATCGGTATACTCTTCCAGTGGTCCAAAAGTGTTGCTTCCATGATCCTTCTCGAGAAAAGGTGTCTTAGAGAGTGAACACTGGTGTCGGCCTTGTTGCCTATTAGGGACGTGACTGGCGTTCGGGTCATGTGGTCGGTCGGGACGTGATACGCCGACTCTTCTTGGAGCGTGGGAGTTGACGGCACGTAAGTTTGGTTTAGGCTTCGGAGCTCGGCATTTTTCCGATGAAGCTCAGCAAGTTCTCGGGCATCGGCTTCTCTCTGTCTACGGATGGCCGCCATCTCCTCTCGCAAGGCGCGCATGTCATCTTGAAGGTCGGGCTGGGCTTGGTTAGCACTCAGACGGACTTCTTGTATCACAAGGTCCGGTTGAGTCTGAGGCATCCCATACGGGTATCGTGTTTAAGAGGGGCTGAAAATGTCTCTTCGGCCCCACGGTGGGCGCCAAATGTTCCTGTGTTAGGATACACACTTCAATTATCCTTGCTATAGCGGGTCGGGTCCTAGGTCTCGGTCTTCTCCTTCTCTTCCGGGTGGTCCGATGTGAGGGGGTGTGCCTGCAAAGACACTCCAACGCTCAAATAAGTGCTCGGCGAAATAAATGCAGTAGGTGAAATCTGGTTACGTACCTCGAAGGGGGTCTATTTATAGTGTTCCTTATTGGGCCGTGATTAGGAATTGGGCCCCGGAAAATTAGGGGGTTAATCCGGCTTATTACTTAAATTAAACTATCGCAATCGTATTAGAAGAATTCCGTGGATTGGACGAGTAGGCCGATCACTACTATTTTGTGAGGGATCGGCATGCTCGGATGGTCGGTATAATGAATAATAGTTTAGGGTATCGGTCGGTTCGGTCGATTCGGTTCAAATCATTGATTCAGCTAGGTCGGGTTCGGGCCCGTACGGTATAATTTGATCATGTTATAATAAAGTCTTAACAAAAGCATACAATATTATTACTTACGAATAATAAAGGACAACAAACAAAAATCAAATATGAGATTTACGATGCTACTTTTGAGTCAATTCTCATTGTCAAAATAAAATCTCCCCAAGCTAATTAATAATATATAATGAAGAAAACACAAATATCTTAGAAGAAAATAATGCATCGTTTTTCTAATGTTTGACTGCATATATCAAATTTGTTGTCTTCCTTCATGTGACCACTAACTTTACTAACATTAGATGCATGGAAATGAAGGGAAAGTATTCTTGGCAGAGAACCATATTATGACTGACAAGTGGGAAATAAGTAACGCTTTATATTACTATTAATATTAATATAGTACAAATTGAGCATCCTTGTAAAGGGACATTTGTATTCTGAAGACTTATATTAATACAACACAGATTGAACTAGTTTATACATATTAATGGGTCATAGCATAAACTGAAGCTCAGCAAGTTCTCGGGCATCGGCTTCTCTCTGTCTACGGATGGCCGCCATCTCCTCTCGCAAGGCGCGCATGTCATCTTGAAGGTCGGGCTGGGCTTGGTTAGCACTCAGACGGACTTCTTGTATCACAAGGTCCGGTTGAGTCTGAGGCATCCCATACGGGTATCGTGTTTAAGAGGGGCTGAAAATGTCTCTTCGGCCCCACGGTGGGCGCCAAATGTTCCTGTGTTAGGATACACACTTCAATTATCCTTGCTATAGCGGGTCGGGTCCTGGGTCTCGGTCTTCTCCTTCTCTTCCGGGTGGTCCGATGTGAGGGGGTGTGCCTGCAAAGACACTCCAACGCTCAAATAAGTGCTCGGCGAAATAAATGCAGTAGGTGAAATCTGGTTACGTACCTCGAAGGGGGTCTATTTATAGTGTTCCTTATTGGGCCGTGATTAGGAATTGGGCCCCGGAAAATTAGGGGGTTAATCCGGCTTATTACTTAAATTAAACTATCGCAATCGTATTAGAAGAATTCCGTGGATTGGACGAGTAGGCCGATCACTACTATTTTGTGAGGGATCGGCATGCTCGGATGGTCGGTATAATGAATAATAGTTTAGGGTATCGGTCGGTTCGGTCGATTCGGTTCAAATCATTGATTCAGCTAGGTCGGGTTCGGGCCCGTACGGTATAATTTGATCATGTTATAATAAAGTCTTAACAAAAGCATACAATATTATTACTTACGAATAATAAAGGACAACAAACAAAAATCAAATATGAGATTTACGATGCTACTTTTGAGTCAATTCTCATTGTCAAAATAAAATCTCCCCAAGCTAATTAATAATATATAATGAAGAAAACACAAATATCTTAGAAGAAAATAATGCATCGTTTTTCTAATGTTTGACTGCATATATCAAATTTGTTGTCTTCCTTCATGTGACCACTAACTTTACTAACATTAGATGCATGGAAATGAAGGGAAAGTATTCTTGGCAGAGAACCATATTATGACTGACAAGTGGGAAATAAGTAACGCTTTATATTACTATTAATATTAATATAGTACAAATTGAGCATCCTTGTAAAGGGACATTTGTATTCTGAAGACTTATATTAATACAACACAGATTGAACTAGTTTATACATATTAATGGGTCATAGCATAAACTCATTGAATTATACATATATACAGTACCTCAACTAATTGGAATTGTGGGTTTTGAGTTTGGAATCTGTTAGAAAAATTTTTTTCCCCAAGGCTGCTACAAAGGTTCTAATAATATTGGTTATGCATGATGCTGTAGTGGCTCAATCCAACTAATAATATATATTTTCTAACTCTAGCTAAAATATGACACTTAATTAAATCAACTAGCTAGTAAACACTGCACTAAGTGCACACGTCTTGAAAAATATACCAGACACCTGGTGTGCATACCCAATCCCAATCCCCAAAAAAAGCAAATCAACTTAATAATGCAAGCAACTCCAAATCAATATATAATTGTTAGAAATTTTATTTTTAATAATTAATGTGGGTTACATATATTATTTGTATAGTATTTATATTAGCTATTAATTTACATTTAGTTGGGTTCAATAAAAGTGATCTAATTTTAGTGAGTCTTTAGACTATTAATACGAAAAATTGACATGGACCTAAATAAGTGAAAACCAAATTTGGTCCGTTAGGGGTTAATGGGAACCCTAATAGGATTAAAATTATAAAGATGATCATGGTTCATAATATGCCAAATTAGAAAAAACATGTCTCTGTCTCCCTATCAGAAGAGGAACATGAAGTCTCCTTGAGAAATCCATTGATTTGACTCAGGAAGATCATTGCACCGAAAACTATTCTGATGCAACCTCTAATCAACGCCAATGGATCCAAGTACATTTTAAAACTCAAGAATCTTAGTAATCTAACACAATGTATCTTACTTATTATTTGGTGATTGATAATATTCCAACAAGTGTTTTCAGAGCTACCATTAGTGTTAGATTATTTTGAACCTGCACTTGCTAGTTATTTCTGCATTTTTTTCGTAATATATACAAAAAAATTGTGAACGATCCCGGTAGGACATAATAAGAAATAAAAGAAGCATATTGTGCAGGAAGAGTCATTTCTTTTGCCTGCGATGAAATCCCGGTGCGATTTTATTTTATTTCACGTTTCTTTAATCATTTTTTATTTTATTTTTACATTAAGAAATCGAAAGGAAGCCTTACTCAATTCTTTCATTACCTTCACCGTTCATTTTATTTATTTATTTGTTATTATTATTATTATTATTAATAAATTAAAGACAATGTGTTGTTTCTGGATATATATATAGCTCTTGGATACGTTTTAGCATAAATGGTCATATTGATGTATAAAAATATTGTAATTTTGGCAGATTATTGACCTTTTTTATTAATTAATTTGTCTAATAAATTTTTAATTAAATAAATTGATGTAATATATTGTCAAAGTAATCTTTATTATAGAAATTAATTTAATTAAAATTACAATAGATGTTAATATGAAATTATTTATGTAATTTGTGCTCATCCCAAAGGAAGACATAATTTGGCCAAATAATAGCATGTCCGTGATGATAAATATGTGACAATTATAAAGTTACAATCATGTGAATAATAATTGGTCCAAAAAAAGCTATTGTTTGACAGAATTAATTGTCAATATTTGATCATTGCATTGAGAGTGCCACTAACAAATTAATTTGCATGTCCAAAGACAAAGAATTAATGTTGTGTTAGGTATCTTGTAATGAGTTTATTATGTAAATAATCTGCATATTTTATTTTATTTTACTTTGTGAGCATGTAATTTAAAAATTTGTATCTATGTTGTATTACAGCTATTGTTGCTAGTGCTGTTAACTTGTCTGCTCAAATTAATTATATCCTCATGCTTAATGGGACAAACTTTAAGGCCTGAAAAGAAGTAGTTGAGATAATTCTTGGCTGCATGGATCTTGATCTTGCGCTTTGGACTGAGAAACCCACACCAACTCCGAAAAACTCAGATGAGGATAAGGTTGAAAAGTGGAAATGCTCAAATCAAATGTGTTTGATGATCATGAAGCGATTTGTTCCATAACGTTTTTTGGGGCTCTATTTCTAAGAGCCACAACGCTAAAGGTTTCCTTGATGTTGTTAAGCAATATTTCACCAGCAATGAGAAAGCTGATGTAAGCAGTTTGCTTGCTAAACTTATCTCTGTGAGATACAAAGGTAAAGGAACTATAAGGGAGTACATTATGAAAATGTCTAATCTCGCGTCAAAACTAAAAGCACTAAAGTTAGAGCTGTCTGATGACTTGCTCATGCACTTAGTTTTGATTTCCCTTCCCACACACTTTGGGTAGCTCAAGATGAGTTATAATACTCGTAAAGATAAATGGACCCTGAATGAATTGATTTCTCACCGTGTGCAAGAGGAGGAAAGGCAACAAAGAGAAAAGACTGAAAGTGCTCATTTAACGTCAAACTCTTTAAATAGGAAGAGAAAGAATAATAAAGATGCCGTAGAAAGGAATTCTCAACAAAAGAAAGTCAAAAAGGATGAAAACACACTTACTTGTTTCTTCTACAAGTAGCCTGGGCACATAAAGAAATAATGTCCCAAGTACGCCTCCTAGCATGCAAAGAAAGGTAATTTTATCTATTTTGTTTGTTCTGAAGTTAATTTAGCTTTTTTACCACATGATACTTGGTGAGTAGATTCTGTTGCTACTAGTCACATTAGTCTATCCATGCAGGGTTACCTCTGGATCCTTATAGAAATGCAACTACGTTCCTTTAGCGGTTAAGTAGGATTTATTCATAATAGAAGGGATAGGTTTTAGTCCTGGTTCAAGGTGTGAAGAGAGAGGCTGTCCCAAAAGGACAGGTACAAGACGAAGTGGCAGAAAGATAGAAGTATTGCACCCTTCAATGCCTTTTCATGCTGATTGAGTAGAAGAAGTCAGATA